CAAAACCATTTCAAAAATGTTTCATCTTCAACAGTCTCAAACAGCCAATCAAAATCTTCTCCATTAAGAATATTAGCTTTGGGATAATCAATTTTTTTTAATGTTTCCACAAACTCATTTCCACAACTCATGCTTTAACTGCCCTGTGTTTTGTTTTGTTTTGTTTTGTATGTGATGTGGCTATATGGTGCTGATTTTTATCAAATAAATCCAAACAGAAACAAAACTAACTTTTACGTAAGTCCATAGAGAATGAAAAAATATTTTTAGAATCTATGACTCCTCCTAAAGGGAAAGAAAACAAGTATTAGACCACAAATAAATGAATGATTTTGAATAAAAGATACAAATAAATGTCACATGGCATTTGATAGCCAAATGGACTAAAATGTAGTTGGAGCTGCAACGTTTTAAGACAAGGAAAACCTAAGTAATTAGGGTATTTCTCAGAAAACTGCAACAGACATAAAAACCCACCAACAATAAAACAGTGTTTTCCCCAAAGGTGAAATAGTTTCAAATATACTACGTTTGTATTTCATGCAAAGCAAATGAATCCAAACTCAAGCCACCAGCTAGCTAAGCAGCCTTTTTTCCTGCCCATCGTATGTTAAGAAAATGGAAACGAATACAGTGGTTTAACGAGAAGGACCATTATTTACCCGCACGGCCCAGGGAGCATCCGCCAAGCTCCGAGCACTCGACCCCGACGCCTCGCGGAGGAAACCGGGCCTGGGGAGAGAGAAGCGAGCGTCAGCGGCCCCAAGCTCGGCGCGGGCTCTGTCACTCGCGCGCTGACAGCCGACGCCGCCCGGCCAGACGAACTGCCGCGAGGTCACGACGCGCCCGGCACCCCAGCGGCTGAAATCTCTCGGGTTTTTCTGTTCTGGATTTTTTTTGGAAGGGTACAATCCGTCGTGATACCTGTGTATGTGGATAAGACACACATCTACCCCCCAAAAAAAACAACAAAACCCCAAACCCGAAACGGGGCGAACCGCAAGCGAAGAAACGGCTGTCAGGTCCCCGGCAGCTCCTCGGTCCCTCAGAGACAGGGTCCTGGCTCGCGGTCGCCCCCGCCACGGCGGCCAGGGTCTTGGCACCCTAAAACGCGGTTCGTACTCCTGAAAGAGGAAACGGGTCGCACACCGAAACAGCCCGGCCGGGCGACACCGAGGCGACGCCCCTCACCTCAGGGATGTACCACCAGGCCCCTCACGGATGCCGCCAAAGCAACGGGCGCCCCGCGCTGCCTCACGGGAGCGCCGGCAAGTGCGCATGCGCATAGGGCCGGGACGGAGAAGTCGAAGTTTGTTTGCACAGGCGTGCGGCCTAGGGACCCGGGTAGGGCGGAGCCAGAATTGAGCAGTTGCCTCCCCGCCGGCGGCCAGAAGGGCTGACATATGCAAACAATCTGATTGGCTTCTTTGCCGAAGGCCACTCCCTCTCCCCCCGTCCGGGACTGGGTCCCAAGGCAGGCGTTTAGGGGACAGTGCGCACCTCCGCCTTATTACCCGCCTCCTCCTCTGTCTCCCATTAGGATTCCGAACGTCTCGCGACACTTTTGGGGAGCGAAAGACGGGCCAGGCCGCCTCGTGTACCCAACCTACCCTGCTGTGACGCGTGACCCGGCTCTGAGCCAGTGATCGGGCCACGCGCCAGGCCGAGCACTGCCTGGCACGTCTGCGGGGGTCTGCCAGAGGCTCAGGACCGACGCTGCTTTGCAGAGCGCTTAACCTCAACCCTTCACCTGCCCGATGAGCCAAAGCTGGCTTCTCCCCTGCACATTTCCAGAGCGTTAAAGTATAACCCACTAGAGCAAGGAGTGCTGTGTGTCGGGGATGTATTTAACGCAGGACAGACTGAGGAGGGCCGAAATGACACAGGCAACGAAAGAAAATGCTGAAACAAAGGCTGGTGCAGATCTGGTCGTCCCCTAGTCCCGTGAAGCCAGACCCCTGGGTTTATCGTTTTTATTGGACAGAATTTATTTGTATGGAACATAACCCCTTTGTATCTATACCAGGCAAAAATCGTTTGCAACTCACCGTCCTTCTGTAAGTGGAATTTAGATTTGCAACCTGTAAGCTAAGTGGTGCTCCCCTGCCCTGGTGATAAATGACCCTAAGGTGGATTGTCAGGGTGGCTTGTCAGGGAAAAATCTTTCTCCCTTGTTTTCCTTAATGTTTTTAAAGAAAGAAAAAAATAACGGTGCTGGTCAGATACTGTAAATTATGTTCAAGTCAGAGATACTTGTAGTGATTCTTGTTTTACTGTTTCATTCTCCTTTAAGAATCAGGAAGCCCAAAAATGATCTGCAAAACAGACACTACAGTGGGGAAGTTAATGGAATCCAGGGAACTGGACCAAGAGGACCCTGATGGCTGTGGCTGGAGGTTGGGGGCAGCAGGGAGCTGGAGCTCAGTGGTTTTGGCCAGAGGAAGTGGAGGCTGGCTATATAGGTAGGCGGTGCCTTCAAGAAATTCTGCTGAGCAGGCAAAGAGAGAGCGAGAAGGCTAAGTGATACAAGACGAAGAGGTGGGAATGTAGGACCATGACCAAAGGGAAGATTTTTGTTTTGTTTTGTTTTGTTTTGTTTTGTTTTGTTTTGTTTTGTTTTGTTTTAAAAATGAGAGGAACTTACAGATATTTATAGACTGTGAGGAGGAACTCAGAGGAGATGGAACTACAGCCGCCAGAAAGAAAGGGGCTACTTCATAGAGATCTTGCAGCAGAAGGGTTCATTCCTGAGGCCCTTCTGGGAAACCACTTTCCTTAATGATTCCTAGGTGATTTTCTCGGCCCACAAATTCCAGTTTATGAGTTACTAACCATAGTTATTTGGCTGAAAAGTGTGAGGCCATAGAAAGGCATAAAAACATAAAGTAAAAATTACAGGGGCTGTGTAGTTAGTTCAGCGACATAAACGCTTGCCTGGCGAGTGATAGGTTTTAAGTTCGATTCCCGGTAGCAAAAAAAATTACAACAGTATCTGCTCTCCCAGTATAAATAACATAATAGGGTCTACTCTACATACTTGAAAAGTGTTCTTGAGGTTGTATTTGGAATTAAGAGGGCAAACATGTTACACTTCTTTCCAAGATAAGCTTTCTTTTTTCCAGTCAACATCAGTTGGGGTTTTGCTAGTGTCACAGATAAAGGGAGTCCAGGGGTTTATTCTTGCTGAGAAACCCCACAGAATGGTATATAATGGACTCCACTGACAGGGCTGTGAAGATGCATGTTTTACTATCTGCCCATTGGAAACCTTTTCCCCTATCAATGTTAAATAGTATCTGAGGTTTTGAACAGTGTCTTTTCAGACTATTTTTAAACTTTGCAAGTAATGGTGTGATGTTAAGGATTGTTTTCAGATGCAGTTTTCAGTGAACACTGGTGATGGAACTGTATTCTCCAAGTCAGGGAGGAGGGGTGTTTTGAAGCAGGAAAGTGACCTTCTTAGACCTGTGGCAGAAGCTTGACTCTGCAATAACAAAACTGACAAAAGTGGAAGAGACAGCTGGCACCAGGAAATATAGGATGTGGAATGGCAGGGGGAGCTGCATGGGCCAGTAGAACTCCGGGGCCTTGATCTGGGAAATGTGACAAAGTTGAGTTCTTTCTCTGTCTCCTCAGGAACCAGACTTGCCTAGACCACTGGCTTGGAGGATGGGGGAAGTCTGGGTCTGTTTTGATGTTCGTGTGACAAAGGTGCAATCTCAGTCCTCAAACTCAGGAGGAAGTTTGGGAAGGAGGTCACCATGTAGCAGGTGGTGGTGGCTGTTGGAGCTGGGAGGAGCAAGGTCTGAAGAAAAAGGGGCCAGAGCTTGGGATGGGGCTATTATAAAGCGCCTGAGTGGGGAAGGCAGTGGGAAGAGGAGTGAGGGGTGAGGAACACAACCCTCCTGTACACTCTTGTGTCCTTGTGGGCCTAGGTGCACACCCAGCTTGGCATGTGCCTTCTGCCCAGCTAGGAACTAGAAATAAGGAAGGAGCTGTGTGCAGGAAGGCCCTGCCAATGAAGTCCGGATTAGACCAGCTCCTGATTTGAGTGGCTGGAATCCCAGCCACGATATGAGAAGGCACACAGAGGACTCAGGGCCCACTCCCCACAGCAGGGCCAAGCAGTGGGCACAGTAGGCTGGGCTGAGTGGGCAAGAATACAGGCACCTGGGTCCAATCCTGGGATTGATAGGGACCCAGAGTGCTGTAGGGAAGACAGCAACAACACTGGCTTGGGTTATACTGGCTGCCAAGAAGGTAGTGGCTAAGGTTGGGGTGCAGGCAGGGGTTCCATATAGGAGAAATCCAATGGGAAGTGGTGGTGAAGATTCTAATACATATTTGGAAATTCAAATGTTCATGCATCAACAGCAGATCCCCAGTTCTGAGGTCCTGCTGTCTCCTGGCAGAGGTCCCTTTCTTTGCTAGAAGTGGTCCTACTAACTACCTGGAAGTGGAGGGGGCTCACATGGTTCAATAAGCAAGAGTCACTGCTGCCTGCGAGGGCAGGGCTCCTATAGTTTCTCTCCCATGCCCATCCCTAAAGCTGCAAATGGGACCCCTGGGACCATCTGCAGTGGGCTCTCCATGTCCCAGGGTGATGACCCCATGCTCAGCAAGTGCTCAACTGGCCAACCAGTTCCATAGCTCTGCAGCCTGCAAAGGTGTATGTGCTTCCTGTTGTCTCTGTAGGGTGGGGACCTAGGGGCTCCCCCTCAGTGCCTGGGCCCTCAGAGTCAGGGCTGTCTGCCCCCAGGGAAGGATGGGCTGGAGTCTCCCAGGAGGGTAGCAGGCAGTCAAGGTCACTCAGGCCTGTCCTCCCCCTACATGTGGTCTCACAACCTCACAGACACCCCCAGGAGGGCTTGACAGGAGCCAGGGTCCCCATGCTCCCCGCCAGCCCCAGAGGACAGGGCTCCCAAGGCAGTGACAGCCAGCAACCAAGGTCAAGGGAAAGGGAGCAAAGCAGATAATGAAAAGAACTGGAAGCCAGAGGGTGAGGTATAAAAATCTGTATTTATATTACAATGACAGAATGACATGCCACAGCCCCACCCAGAGGCAGTGGTAGGGCTGTTCTCTCTCAACTCAGGTCTTCATGCACCTACCACCCAGCACCAGGCTCCCTGTGCACATGACTGGCATGGAACCTGTCCTGGTGCCCTGAACGGAGAACCATGCAGCCTGCTGGCCTGGTAAGGACCTGTGTGCAGGCAGCAGGGGTCCAGTCAGCTGACCCCTAGTGAGGCCGGGATGGTGGGGGTAGACAAGAGCAGGGGCCCTCGGGCTGCAGTTTGGCATGGGGCTCCCTCTGTCCAGGAATGTGGCCACAGAACCTCACCATCTCCTAGCCAACTGGGTAGTGAGGCCTGTTACCAAGGAGCTGTCCCCCATAAGGTGAGCACCCCAGCCCGAGCCCTGAGACAGATGGAGGAAGTAGGCCGTGGCTTCCCTGTCCTAATTCTTTCTACTGTCCCCATGACATCCACTAGCAATGGCCTCCTTGTGCAGAAAACAGAGCAGGGGAGGGAGGTGTGGGTGTGGAGCTTAGCACCAGCCACACCTGAACCACTCTTCCACTGCTGCAGGTTGGGGAGGTGGAGAGCACCCCTGCGTGACTGAAGAGGCCAACTCCAACTCCCCAGTCCACATGGGAGCCATGGCCTGAGCAGGCACAGGTGGAGCTGCCAGAAGGGTGGCCAAGGGGCTACTCTGGTGCCCTGCACGGGGCTGGAGTCTGCGGGGCAGAGCTGAGGTGGGACAGAGCAGGGAGCTGAGGGTTTGGGGACTCTGGCATCTCTGGCTCTGGAGTTCCAGGCCCTTCAACATGGGTTCCTGGCACATGGCAGACAGACCCCTTCCTAGGTGCTGATCCCCAGCAGGGCCAAGATGCAAAAGGGACCCTCACCACATGCCTGTTCTCCTGCTGTCCCCAGCTCCTGCCCTGTCAGGCAGGTTCCATGCCAGAGCTACTTCCACGGACCCCTTCTTGCTTCCACAGGCCACGGCCCTGAGGGGCCACAGACATGATTAGAGATAAACATAAGTTTCCCTGCCACTTGGAAATTGGTTACAAATGCACCATAGGGGTGGCAGGCACTGCTGTGCACCAGCCCTAGGGCCACCACCCAAGTATTGCTGTGTGGTCCCTGTTCATGGGGACAAGGACTTCAGAACTGGAAGGCCCCACGACCAGAGAGAACGCTGTGCTCATCAGCTGCCAAAGTCAGACTCCTGGAGCCCTTGCATTGGCTCGCAGGGTTTGAATCAGGTTACGGATTGGCAATCAGGCCTGCTGTCCCCAGCTGCACAGGCTGTGCCCACCTGCTGCAGGGAGGTCTCACTGGGAGCTGGGTAGCAGCCCCACACACAGGAAACCATTGCTGCTGGGACGACCGCCTGGGGGGAGGGCACAGAGGGCACCTGCTAGGCTCACAGGCCTGGACATCCTGTGAGCCTCGAGGGGCATGCTGATGGCAGTGGGCAAGGGGAGACAGGGAACACAAGGCACACTATGACAACGTGACAGAGGACAGGTCCCTGAGACACTGGGTCACTCCCACCCCTCAGCAAATAAGGACACATGACAGCTAGGAAAATAGAGTACAAAAGTCTCATACAGGAAATAGAGGCGCATACACTCGCGTCTCTTGGCGAGTCTTTAGAGCTTTTTTCTCTTTTTAAAAAATCTGTTCTGTTTTTTTGGGAAAAGCCTCTGCCACAGGCAGAACTGGTCAGGTCCCTCAAAGGGAGCTGCCCTTGCTGGGCAGTGTGGCTTTTATTTTTCTTCTTTTTTTAAGAAAGTGAAGCTGGGCATGATGGCACACACCTGTGATATCAGCACTCTGGGAGGCTGAGGCAGGAGGATTACCAAGTTCAAGACCAGCCTGAGAAACTTAGTGACTTAGTGAGTCCCTGTCTCAAAATAAGAAGTTAAAAAAAGGGCTGGGGACATAGCTCAGTGTGAAGGTCCTGGTTCAATCCCCAGTACTTCAAAAAGTTAAACAAGAAACGGAAGAAAAATAAAGGGAGATGAGAAAGTGGAGGGCCCAGTGGTTCAGCTGCCAGCCCATCCCCTCCCAGGCCTTGCAGGGAAGAGAAGCCCAATTCCTGTGCAGATCTCACAGAGCCACCTGGGCCAGTGTAGGTGGGCTGGACCAGCACTGGCCACCTCAGTGACCCTCAAAGGCCAGCCTCTCAGGACATCTGCCCTCTGAGGGCCCCACGTGTCTGTGCATGCAAGCATGTGTGTTGGTGCAAGCCTGGGTGCATATGTCTGTTTGCCAATCCTAACAGAGTGGAAGCTGCCAGCTTGGCACGGGCGGCCCAGCCTCTCTGCCCACATGCCTCAGCGTGCTCACCCAAGTCCAGCCCGGTTCAGAGCCTTCCGCTCCGTCCACGCCTCAGGAGCTGTGAGGACGACTGCCAAGTGCACCTTCCTTCCTTCCTCCATCCACTGCTTCCTCCTGGAATCCGATACAGGGGCTGGGCTCCCCAAGGTGGTCACGAGACCCCTTACCCGGCACCCACCGAGGTTTGCAGCAATGACATTTAATACTTCTGGAATGATTGAGAACTGGAGGATAGACGTGGGCAGCTACGCTGGGCTCCAGGTGGTGGGTGCCAGGCCCCGCCTCCCTGCAGGGGGCCCTGCCCATGGGCAAGGAGGGCAGAGGCTGGCAGCCTGGGCAGGCAGCAGCTGGAGCTTCCAGCATGGCACAGCAGTGGGCCTGCGAAGAAGCTGGTGTCAGCTGAGGAAGGACCCAGGGCTGCCACAGCTGGCCGAACAGGCAGGCCAGGGAACACAGGGAGTGGGACCTACAAGAGGCTGGGGCGGCCAGGCCGCCTGCAAGGGCGCCCAAAGCCCCCATTGCTGCAGCCACCGCTCTGCAGGCTGTAGTGGTCATCGGCGTCACTGCTGCTGCCAACACTGTCCAGCTCACCCTGGCCAAACTCCATGCCCTCTATGTCCACCTCTGTGGAAAGAGAGGAGAGGGTTAGGCACTGCACAGCACAGTGGGATGCCCTCCACATCAGGACCTTTCTCAGTATTCTGGGTTCAGAGGAGAACAAAGGGGGTCTAGCCCAGCCCCAAAGTGACAGAGGCTGGGACAGCACTCAATTAGAACCAGCAGCCTGCCCGGGGCCCAGTGGCCTTTGGTGCTGACACAGCCTGGTCACTGCCCTTGGCACTCCTCCCTTCATGCCACACTGAAGGACAAAGCTGGTCTTAGTGGGCAGCACCACCTGAAGTCAAAGCCACCCCAGGCACTTCCTCTTCCACGAGTTGCCCTACCTTGCTCTGAGTCATCCGTGGAAACAGCAGAGCCGGTGCTGTCTGTGCGCACGCGCTCCATGCTCTGCACTGACAACTGCTCCAAGCGCCGCTTCAGGAAGTGATGCTCTCGCTGCAGCTGCTCCTTGATGCTCAGTGCCCTGCGGTCCTGCTCCTCCAGTTTCTGGGGACAGGGATGGAACAGGGGGCAATGATGAGTTCATGGTCAGGAGGTGGCTTCCAGCATGGCACAGCAGTGGACAGGTGTGGGGACATGAGGCCAGACAGCGAAAGATCTGTACCTCAACATGACCCAGCCAGGGCATGGCTACAAAGCACCTTCCCCACCTGGCCAGGCTGATAGTGCCTGGGCCTGACCCTGGGACAAGGCCATCCAGCCTTTAGCCAGCACCATCCTGAGGAAGGGGCCGCCCTTCCAAGGCGCCTTGGGTTCTCACCACACCTGTACCTGCGGCACCCTGCCCTCCCATATCCTCCATCCCTACCTGTTTCCTGTCATCCCTGCTTGAGGGCCCACACCTGGGACATAGAGAAGGCCCTCCATAAGAACAGAAGTCTGCCCTGGCTGACTTCTAATGTCCCAGATGCCCAAATCAGTAGGAGATTCCAAAGACCACAGTGGGTGTCCCAGGGAGTGTATCCTCAGCCCTCAGAGCAATCCCACTTTCCTCACTCTGACAGGTGCTAGGACCAGCTCACCTCTCTGCAAAAGACACAGAAGAAGCCCCTGCCCTCAGGCCACCCCACCTTACAATTGCTGCCAACCATGCCCGAGGCCATGAGAGTCACCTGTACTCTAAGTCTCCTCCCTGAGCCTAGTCACTCAATACACTGTTCCCTCCAATCACCAAGCCAGGTGGCTTGCAACCCTTGCAGATCCTGTGGCTGCCTCCTCAAAATACCTCAAGCCCCCAACATGCACCTGCTAGGTAGCTCCCTACCATCTCCAGGGCCTTGGGTCAGAGCTTCCCAAGCACACAGGACAGGTACGGGATGGGACAGGCCAGGCCTGCTCACCTTGATGTGCATCTTAGCACGCTTTAAGAGGCTCAGTGTGGTGTGGCGCGTGCTGTCTGGGCCCAAAGGCACCAGCTGCTTCAGTTGTTCCAAGTAGAGTCTGAGCTTGGCTCGTCTGAAAGAGCCAGAGACAGAACCATCAGGCCAGGTGGCAAACCAGGGGTGAAAGCAGGAGTGCTGACCCAGGCCCTCACAAATTCCACCCCACCATGGGGACTGGATTCCCTCCTGGCCTGGCTGGCACCTGCCAATGGAGTAGCAGGGCACCTACAGCCTTCTGGATGTGGCATCCACAAGGCCCCACTGTTAAGTTACACTTAGCCTGGGCTTGGAAACCTGGAGACTTGGACAACAATCCACACCTCCCACCTCGCCACATACAGCCTGCCCTTGGTTGCTGCTGTTCTCACAGAAACCTAAGTTTATTGAGGCAGGGAGGGCCAAGGACCAGCCAGTCCCTTTGGAATCTGCTGCAGTTCAGATTTTGTCCCCATCTCTGGAAGGATGGATTCATTTTCCCCAAAACTGGAGCTGTTTACTCAGGGGCTAGTTCATGAGGCAGTATCCCTTGAGAAACGCTGCTTTCCCTGGCCAAGGAGGGGCAGCCAGTTGGACTTCCCTCTGATGCTCTGCGATGGCCCAGGACCTCTGCCATGTCCACACACATCTACCCACCTGGTATCCACTTCCAGGGCATATGTGACACTCCCACTACAGACTCTCCCCTCCCCCAGACCTGCTTCCAAACCCAGTACACTTTGCTTAGAATGAATTTCTAGGAGCAGGCCTGCCAGGCAGGGGGCAAGAATACATTTTCAGGCTTTTAAAAATCTATTGCCCAACATCTCTACCATAGTCAGCACCCAGATGTGCTCCTCTTCCCTTTCCAGATCTGCTCACTGCCTGCAGAGCTCCTACAAACCCACACACAACCTTCCTTCAGTCCTAGGGAGACCCTGGAAGACAGTGGGCAGGGATGGCCATCTCCTGGACAGAGAAGAAGCCCAAGGCCCAGCAGAGGAGGAGATGCTGGGTGCAGAGAGAGGTGGGGGAGGGGCTTGTGATTCTGGATCACTTTTTGTGAGCCTATCCACACTGCACCCTCTATGGCCAAGCACTTTGTGGCCCAGTGTTCTAGCCCATAGCACCTGGGAAGCCAGAAGTTCAAAGTAACTCGAAGACCTCAGGAAGAACTTGTAGGGTACAGAACAGAGGCTGTACTTGGCTAGGTGGGGTCTGGACCCCAGGCAACTACTACATTACTACCCAGAACGCCTAGAACCTTGGCCTCATCCTCTCCATGGGAAAAGGCCCTGCCCCTAGGAACTGAAGGAGCAGGATGCTGAACTGGGCAGGGGAACGGAGCTCTCTGCTCAGGGAGAGGGGCCCCCAAGATGGGTCCCCACTGTCCTGAAGTCACTAGCACCAAGTTTGCAAATGGGAATGTTGCCAGTGACTTCCTCCCCTGGCCCAGTCATAATAGCAAACAGCAATTTCACAACTTTTATGAAAATATTAGAAAATACAAAGAATTAAAAGTATTCCATCATGGCAAGCACGAGGTCATGAGTTCGATCCCCGGTACCAAAAATAAAAAAACCAACCAAAAAAAAGTATTCCATCACACATGCACAACTGCATTGCCATTCTGATGTATTACATTTCCACATCATAATGTTAAGTGAAAACAATCAGAATACAGAGAAGTATACGTGTAAAGGTGGTATAAACTTGTTTAAAAATTAAAATAGTGGATACACACAAGAGACTCCACGGGATACTATGAAGCATGGGGAGCCTGCATCTTGGGGACCTATGCTGGCAGCATTTATTTCCTTAGCTTCATGCTTTTCTGTGTTTTCTAGTTTTCTATGCTTAACAAACCCACAGATTAGTAATACAATCAGAGAACACAACTGTACAAGAAAGAACAAAACACAGGTAACAAAAAAATATTCTCAATACATGCAAAAGAGCAATAGTTGGTATCTGTGATATCTTGAGCTCATACACCAAGAGGGAAAAACAATACCTCCATGTAACACCAGGCAAAGGACACAAACCAGCAAGCTTCAGCTTCCAAAGGGCAGCCTCACATAAAACTGATTCCATCTCAAAAACAACCAAGAAAACAAAAACTTAACCAAGTAAGCACTCATTTTCCCCTTTGTAAGAGCCAAAAAACGAAGGCTGGGGCACTTGCTTGACCAGCACTCAGACATCAGAGGCCATGGCAGAGGAGCCGTTGGCGCAGTTGTGAAAGTCACATCAGCTCAGACTGTCAGCCAGGGTTTCTACTTCTGGGGTTCAGGTCCTACAAAACCACACCCCAGGGGTGTGAAGACCACACTCAGCAAGGTTTCCTGCAGATGGCCATCTCCAGAACCTCAGAACAGGCTCCAGGATGGGGAGCCCAGGGAGGAGCCATGGACATGGGTAGGGGACATTTATGAGGAGCTAGCTGCAAGGCCAAGGTACAGGGCAGTGGGTAACAAAGCCCCCTTCTCGTCCCAGAGGTACCATTTCTGGGGCAGTGTGCATGAGATTTGAAAAAAGTCATTTCTCAACAGATAGAGAAGGCCACTTGACCAAGCTTGTGCGGTATCTGAAGCTCAACATGTTGGCCCAACCCTGGGAGAGCACATGGCCGGGGCTGCAGGCTGCACAGGTCATCCTGGCACCCTACCCTGGGTAGTGGGTGTGACAGGCCACCTGGGGCAAAGGCCTGGAACTGGCTCTGCCAATGGCTGCTTGAGGGATGTGGGGTGGGAGTGGGGGCACCCATCTCAGCCCAGGCAGCACTGGGCTGTCACCAAACCCTCCTCCCTACAGCAGCTGCAGCACCCCAGGCCCCACCATCATCCCCCAGCTATCCCTACCTATCCAAGGAGCTCCTGAGCTCCAGAAGGAGCCCTGCAAGGCTGGGGGTGGGGACAAGCTGTGGGATCCCTGCATTCCTCAGCCTGATTGTCCTGTACAGGGTCTGATTGGCTTACTGCTGCAAAGCCAGCTCCTCAGGAGGCCCAGAGTTCCAGGCCAGATATCCCAGCACCCAAGGGAGGGCAGAATCCAGGCTCCTGGAGGAGAGGCAATGAGGAAATGTACAGGTTGGCAAATACACCACCTTTCTGTGTGTTCACCTGCATCTTCAAGCTGCTGCTAACTTACATACCCTGTGTGGTTCTATGGGGCTGCAGGGCAGGAAGGTCACAACTTGGGGCAACTGGCTCGATGCTCGGAAGGAGGCAGAAGCCCAACTGAGGATATGGGCCTGGCTTCGGGGACGTGTACTGGCCCTCTAGCGTACACTGAGAGCCAGAAAGGCAGCCAGGACTCCCTCTCCAGTATCCTAAGGGCAGAGCCAGAGTCCGGCACAGAAGAAACAGCAACCAAGCACAGACCATAGCAGCCCTGCCACAGTTTTGCGTCCACATGGGTGCTCGGGGAGGAGAAACTGGACCAGTGGCTCACAGTACCACAAGAGGAAGCCCCAGGGCCTAAGCTAGGCCCATGAAGGTGCACATCCAGGGAAGGCAGCATCTAGGTCCAGCTGGGCACTTCCTTCCTTCCTCAGGGAGCTCCCAGCCAGCCCTGCAGCTAGCTGCCAGCCAGGAGCAGCAGCAGCAAACCCAGCCAAGACCTCTGTCTCAAAAAAATAAAGGCGGGGCGGGGGGGCCTGGGGATTTAGCTCAGCAGCATAAAAGCCTGCCTGGCAAGTGCAAGGTCATGAGTTTGATCCCCGGTACCAAAAAAACAAAAAACAAAACAAAAAAAACCCACAAACCTCTGTCTCTGCTAGGGCCCCAAGCTCCAGGCTGTCTATACATGCACCTCGGCCAACCATGAACAGAACCTCGAACTGGGCTAGGGGATACCCGAAGACCCTCTGGTAGCCCAGCTATCCCTCATCTATCTCAAAGGTGTCCCAGGAAGCTTTTCTCTGAGGTGGTGGAGACTCACGCTGCAATCAAGGGGAAGCTGGTTGGATCAGAGACCATGCCCTGGTCTCCCTCAAAGGTACCACCCACCTGTCAGATTCCACTCCCAGGAAGTTCTGGCAGAGTACCCCTGTGCCTACGTAGATCCTGGGTCCTAGTCAAGGCTAGGCGGGTCTCCTCTGGCCTGGAAGCAACTCCAGGCTTTTCCTGCATCCTATCTCCAGCCACACAGCCTTGCAGGAAGCCCCCAAACACATGGGACCAGTGCAGGAAGTGCAAGCCCTAAGGGAACACCGTGTTCCATCCCTGCAGCCGCTGCCTCAGCCAGAGGCCCAAATCACATCCCAGGGGAGTGAAAGTTGGCACTGCTGTGGGCACAGACAGGAGGAAAGGGGAGGAGGGACATGGCTGAGCCCCAGCAAGACTGAGGTGCAGACCTGCCCACTGTGAAGGAAAGAACATATCTACTGCAGGCAGGAGCAGAGGCCAGGAGACAGCTATTGCCCAGCACCCCTGGACTTTTCTGTGTCCTGGAAGGGGTTCCCACCCCTGGGGCTTCCTGGCCAACACTGCTCTGCCCTGGGCAGAACACTCCTAGAAAGGCACAAAACAGTGGGCAGAGGCTTGGGGGTCCTCCTGCTCCAGAGGGGTTTGGACACTCCAAAGCACACCATTTCCTTCAGGCAGCTGGCCATGACTACCACCAGCATCATGGGCTCTGTTCCAACTTCCTGGCTCAGGCTGAGGGTCCAAGAACACAACTTGTCTGCCAGCCTGAGAGCACCTGAGAGCACCTTTATTTTTTTGAGACACCGAAGGCACAGGTAGCCCTTCCAGGACGGGCAGGCTGGCCACATCCTCTCCTCTGCAGATGGGGCTACACAGGAATAGGAGGTCACTTACCTGTGCTTTTCTAGTTCATTGTGTGAAGACCTGTTCAGAGAGACAGAAAAACAAGGCTCACTCAGAGGCCCAACACCAGAGCACAGATGGGCGCATGCCCAAGGGCTGGGAGTCATAGACTGCATCCAGACAGGTTGGAGCCCTGGGCTGGCTGACCCTGGTTGTGAGGAAGAGGAGCACACAGGGAGCTGAGATGGAGCCAGGAGGAGGCCCAGCAGCACCCAGACCACCTCAAGAGCCTGGGGGGCTTTGGCTGGCAGGGTATTACCCAGATGCCCATCTCTGAGCCAGACTCCAGGAGAGAGGACATGCTTGTCCCCCACACACAGCCTTGTCACCAAGCTCACACAACTGTGGCTCGCAGCCCACCTTGTAGATGGGGTACCCAAGCTTAGTCTCCCTGCCAACCTGGTCACTCAGGCAGGGGCGCAGAATGCTGAGCCAAGGCGCAGGTAATGCTACTTAGGTAGCTTGCCCTAGTACTTTCAGGTCACCTTCCTAGTCCAGAGGGGATTTCACAAGCCAGTTAGGGTGCCCAGCCCTCCCAGGCCATTGCACACATGAGCAGAGGGCTCAGGCCACCACAGTGCAACCCAAGATTCCCATTTTCCAGGCACTGTCCAATGCCCCATTCATCCTTCCCTCACCTGGCTGACCACCCTCTTCCCATCATACCTCCTGACTCCTAGGTCTCCCTGATGGTCGAGTGCCAGAGCCAAAGGGATACCACTGATGCTGCATCTGGCCTCATGGGACTGTCTGTCAGCCAAAGCCACAAACTGGCTTGGATCATAGGGTCTGTGGGCTTATGAAGGAGGCTGGGGCGAGCAGGTACCCTTCAGCAGAGAAGCCCACTTGCCCCTAGGCTGGCCCCACCCTGCTGGGAGAGGTCCTCTTGTGTCCAGAGACCCCTGCAGGGGACCTGTCCCTGGGGAGAGGTGGGACCAGCCCTGGCCAGCTATACCAAGAGCTTTCCTGGCACCATGTGGGCCCTAAAAGACAGGAAATCTCTGCTCTCCTCAGAGAACCTGACCTCTTCTTCTGAGCCACTGCCCACAGGGCTTCTCAGACCTATCCCATGGCTCCTGCTCCCCACTCACCTTGCACCCAGGCCCACTGTGCCCATTCCTAGTCCTGGCCTTGGTGGAACACAGAAGCCTCATAGGTATTGGGCTGTCCTGCCATGTCAAGGGCCCCAGGCCCTTGTCTGGAAATAGCCTGGAGGGTGATGACAGCCAGGGCAGCTGGGCCTGCTGTAATGGGGAGGTGTACCCTGGCCAGAGAGACTCCGGCACCCCTCACTCTGCTTCAGCAGAAGGTGCAAGGCCAGGACCCTGCCCTGGGAATAGGACTCAGAGGCAGGTGAGTGGCCCCAGGCAAGTCACCTGATCTCTCTAGGCCTCAATTTCCTGAGTTGTAAAATGGAGACAACCTTTCCTTGGAGAGCCAGTGTATAGGTTAGCTCCTGGGAGGCGGGTGTGCAGGCGGCGCCCAGGGAACCTTCACTGTGACTGCTACTCAATGTGGGCATTCCACACCCTGTGAGCACTGGACAGGAAAAGCAGGGGCCTGGCAGCTCGCTGTGGAGCCCCAAGGCATTGGAGCCCCAACACACTCCTGTCCTTCTGCAAACATCTCCAGCAGGGAACCAGGGGCTGGGGCTCAGGAAGCTGGAGCCTCAACCAATTCCTTGCCAGGCTTAGGACGCCACAGAGTTGGGTCCCCGTGCCAGCCTCTCTGTTTCCCAAGAACAGGCGGCCACAGGAATGAGCCACACCCTCTGCCAGGGGGCCTCAAAGCCCCCAGCCAGCACAGCTCCAGCCTGGGGGACATGGGGAGGGGCTGGACTAAGGTGAGCCCCTAGACAGTGCCCAGCATGCAGTGCGGTGGGCTGGAAGAGTGGAGCCTCTGGATGCCCCAGTCCTGAGGGCCAGGTCTCCACCAGGGTTGAGCATGCACCCCAAGCTTAGGACTTGCAGACTAACAAGGTCCACAGCACCAAGGGGATTGCTGGCCCCAGAGAACCTACAGCCTGTCGCTCCTCTAACACCACTAAGGCCCAGGCCCAAACAGGGGGACCCTGCATTTGTGAAGCTCCACAGTCTGGGGCTGGCTGGCCGGTGGGCATGGGGAGGGGACTTTGTCTGGGTTCCTGGAGTGGGGTGCGAACAGAGGTGCAGGGCCCAGAATGGAGGAGGCAGCTTGGGGACACCCGAGGCTTTCGCGTCCCCAGGCCCAGGCCTCTGGACCGCGGCCGCTGACAAACGTGCCCACTGCTGGGGAGGTCGGCAGCGCCTCGGGAGGGCACGGGCGCTGTACGCGTGGCACTGTTTACGGCGGCGGAGGCGCGGCGGCGGGAAGATGGCGACGCGCGGGCGGGGCGGGCGGGGCCGGTGCGCCTCCTCCAGGCCGGCCGCCGGGCGCAGGGCGGCGCGGACGCGGGCGCGGGGGCACGGCTGGGCCGCGGGTGGCAGAGCGGCTCGGGGGCGGTACCTGTTGTTCGGGGCCTTGCGCACCAGGCCGGCCGCCTTTGTTTTCTTCCTGGCGAAGTCGCCGTCGAAGGGCAGCACCGAGGCGTAGCCGTGCTCAGCCTCTGCAGACAGACGGCGCGGTCAGCGGCCCCCACCCACCCGCCGCCCGCCGCCCGCCTCCCACCCCTGCACAAAGAGGCGCCGGCTACCTCGGTCCCGGCGCTCCAGGTACTCGGCCGCCTCCAGCAACAGCAGCAGGGAGTTCAGCTCCATCCTACTGCCCGCGCCCGGGACGGAGGCGGCTGTGCCCGGCGCGCTCCGGCAGGCTCCGCTGCTGCCCGCCCCGCGCGCCCCACAGTTCACTTGCCAGACTCGCGGACTTCTAAGCTCTGCCACCACCCTCCACCTCAGGCCCTCAAATTGACACATAAGGGAGAGTGACGACCGGTATAGCCAATAGAATCCGGCACTGTGGCCTCAGAGGCGGGCTCTGGTCAGAGCCTTGGCCAATGGGGACGGTCCGACCGCCTTGGGCTGGACGGAGAATGTTGACAGATGCGAAGCTAGCCTGGGATAGGCCAGCAGCAGTAGTAACAATTTAGAAGCCCAAGCTTAGCAACAGCACGTGGTGGCCCGGCCCCCACGTTCGCTGACTGGCGGCCGCCGTGCATGTTAAGTAGGCGCTGCGCGCAGATTGGGCTAGGGCGTTCTATGTAAATTGCGCCTGTGGACCAATAGCCAGCGTCTGGGCGCTAGACCAATGAGGGCGTTGAGGCTGGAGGAGTTGCCTGGAGGAAGCGGCGTGCTGAGTGACCGCCGCTAGGCTGTGCGAGGGGCAGTGGGGCGCGGGCGCTTCACTAGAGACACCGGGCAGAATACGCAGCGTGACACGTGCAGCCTCCCCGTGAACGCCGTGCTCGGAGCTCTGGGACCTATTGCTCAGGATGGCGGCAGCACTGGCTTCGCAGAGGGCGGGGTCCTTTGGTGGCTCGAGGTCCCGCGCGGGGCTAGGAACGACTCCATCCCCGCGGGCGGCTTCAGGAAAGCCAGGACTTGGGGAGGGATGCAGCCAGTCCGAGCATAAAGGCAGGGTTTTTCAGAGGGTGTCTGTGGGGAAGCCGAGGCGGGAGCGGAGTGACCCGCGCTGTCCAGAGGACACCATGGGCCCCATCTTGGGGAGGGACCGCGGTCTACCGCAAGGGCATGGTGGGTCCCTCGGTGTCCCCTCCCGCGGGCCCGCTGCCTGAAGGGAGGACCCTGCGCTCCGCCGCCGGGTCACCTGGACCACTCCGGCCGCTGTCCGCCTCGATTGCTCCTCCGAGGTCTTCCTCTCGCTCGGCCTTTTGGTTTCGTTTTGGTTTTGTTTTGTTTGCGGTAGTAGGAATGGAACCGGGTCTCATAGTGGCAAGTGCTGTGTCATAGAGCTGCATCCCGTGCCCTTGCTCCCTCCAAGTTTTATTTAGAGACCGGTCTCCCTAAATTGTGATCCTGCTGCTTCAGCCTCCCGAGTAGTTGCAGTGGCAGATATGCACCACCCCAGCGCTCTTGCTGTTTTTGTCACGCCTCTGGAAGGGCAGCAGGTGTTTTGTGGCATCGAGTGTCCGACCACAGTATGCCCAGAAGTTGTAGGTGGGAGGAGGCTCTGCTGCCGAGTGAACAAAAACTGCTGAAACCGTATCATTTGGGTTCCAGCACCAATGTGAGTGCTACGTGCATTTTCACCTTCCCCACCCGGAGGCTCCCCCAACCCGATCCTAGTGGCCCGGGAGCGCGGAGACAGTGCTGCCCTGGCACATGGCCCTGCTGGGGAAAGAGCCCGGCTGTCTGAACCAGAGGGATTGAATGACGTACACTCCTCAGCCTGGGGGACCTGGGACGTGACACAGAAGGCGCCCAGTGCAAACGCGGTGTAGGGGGACCTTCCTGCTGCAACCCGTCCCGCATAGAGGGGATGCAAGATCGTTTTTTGCGGCTTTGGGACCTAGAGAAAGAGCTCGCTGCCTCCTGCCCGGTATCGCCGGGGTGTGCAGGTGTTGTGCTTGGCCGTGGGAGCCGCCTGCCTCCTCTGACCCGGGCTCATTTGTGCCTCGCCCCCAACCACCCCCAGGACAGGGCGCCACCTCCCTGGGGCTAGAGCAGCCTGCAGCACTGGGACCGCAAGGGACAACCGGGGAGGGTATTGGAATGGGACCGCGGGGTGCTGAGGGCCGCTCTAGGATCCTAGGAATCCGGAAGCTGTCACACTTCCTTGGGACTGGCAAGCATCTACACCCGCCCTGCCGAGTGCTGACTCTCCGCATGGTATTGCCGGACAGGTACCCGCACAAGTGCACACGGAGACCCAGGGGCTGGGAAAAAGAGGATGTGGGCAGCAGGCAGTGGAGGCCCCTGCCAGTAAGGATGGAGCCAGTGGAAAGGAGGGATCTGCAGACACCTACAGCTTCCCCTCCCTCCAGCCCAGGCCCCCACTCCATCTGGGGGCTGAGGACCCCTCTGTACACCAAGGCCTCCAGGGGCTCTCACCTGCAGCCCTCCTAGACCAGCCACTGAGCACCAGCCACCAGGGGCTCCAGGAGATAGCCAAGGGTCCTCTCCCTTGTGGGTGGGGGCCTAGCAGTGGCTGGCCTTCTTGGGTGCCTCAGCCTCAGCTTCCTTGGCTACAGATGAAGCTGGCACCCACCCTTGGGCTTTGGAGTGTACACTGAGGGACTCCTACCTACCCTGGGCCCCAAATCCCAAGAACATGCAGAAGACTCATTTCTGACCTCCCCAGGCTGGCTGAGCCCTGCTTCCCTTTTGTGGGTCCTGGGTCACCAGACTCCTGTCATGTCCCCAAAATTGTCCACAGCTTTTTGGGTATCCCAGGACCTCAGCCAAGCACTGGGGAGTATCCCCTGCACCCAAGGTGGAAAGTTCATGGGGCCCTCCTTTTCCAGGGGCCAGCCCTGCTCTCCTACCTGTGGCCTCTGCCCTGTGGCCTCTGGGGACTGGGTGGACACCCTGAAGTTTCTGGGATTCCTCCTTCTAGCACTCCTGCTGTTCAACTGGCTGCTGTGGGAGTGGGTTGCTGTCCTGACAGCTCACTGAGGTCAGCTCCAGCCCCAGGGCAGAGTTGGATCAGCAGCCCCAGAGAGCCATGGTGGCACCCCAACTCTATTGTGGTCATGAGGAGGTGGTATGGTCATTGAGACTGCCACTTCTGGCTCTTGGGGTGGAAGCAAGACACCTAGAGAGCCCTGGCAGCAGTGGATGCCCAGGAAGTAGCCAAATGCAAACATCACCCAAGTGGGAATGTGCTTCAAACTCTTGTTCCCCACCTCAGTGCTCATCCCCACCCCCACTTCCGGAAGTGGGCCCAGGGCTGCAGGGCTCTGTTCAGAATCCGGGGTGGGGCCTAAGCTCTGGGCTGGCCAGTGCTGGGCACCAGGCCAGGCCTCTGAACATTTGTTGGCCTTCTAGAAACTTCGACATGCAGGGAACATTGCCTGCAGAACACAAAGAGACACATGAAGATGTAATTAAAGGTCTATGGAAACTAACAGTGTCCACGTTACTTCTGGATTTAAAATAAGAAAACAGTTCATTATATTTGTGAACAATGGGTGGTATGGTTTTTTCCCTCTCTTTTCAAGGTTTTCCCACTAGATTTTAGAGCCCTAGATGATTTAACAATTGTAATTTTTTCTGTTCGTATTTCTTTTTGTGTTTTTAGCAATTGTAAATTAAATTAATTTCTCACAGCCAAAATTATCCGGAAACAAAATGATAAATTTTCCTTTCAAGAGTTTTTACGGGGTAGGGAAGCCATGACCAAGGGATGTTGCTGCAGACCAAGCCCCTCCCAAGTGGCAGGCCAGCTGGGTGGGCGGCCACACCTGGCCTCATTGCTGCTTCTGGGCTTCTGTGCCTGGGGGAACCTTTATGTGCCAGAGGCCTGGGGGCCCAAACCGGGGTAAGGGGTTCTCTCCCATGAACCATAGGGGCTCTGGTGAGGGAATTAGGGGTGGGAAAAGCAGCACTATCAGGAAAGGCTGCCTGGAGGAGGTGGCCCTTGAAGAAAACAAGTCTCTCCAGGACTCTGGGACATGGGAGTGGCATGCAGCAGGCACTCTGGATCCTGCCAGTCTCTCTCCAACCCCTGCACAGACTCAAAGCTGCAGACACCATGAAGCTGTCCACCACTCTGGTGGTTTGAGGGGGCTGACTCCCCTCTTTCCTGGCCTCTTGGAGCCATGGGGCACCATCTGCTTGCCTCCAGTCATGGCCATGACTGGAGAACCTCCACAGGCTCCTAGGACCCCCAGGGACTGGCTCTGCTGGGGGGCCACAGTGGGACAGCAGGTGTGGAAGGAGGTGAAGGTGGATTCCCCCAGGGACTGGCCCAACTGGGAGGCCCCAGAGGAGGTGGTGGGTGCCCCCTGGTGGCCACTAGGAGCTACAGCCAGGACCCTGGCGGGAACACAGGCCCCAGGGCACAGGAAGGGAAGGTCTCTGTCTCCCATAGTCTCCAGTGCCATCATCACCAACAGGGACACCCATAGCCCTGAGGGTCACCTGCTGGCCTGGTTGTGGCCCAAAACTCAGCAGAGAGGGGTGTATGGTGGCCGCACCAGAATGGCTGCAGGCCACAGACAAGGGAGCGGGCAGCAGGGCACCTCTGGAGCCCTAATGTGGGTGTGCAGGGACCCTAAGAAACTTGCAGGGGAAGGGGGTCAGCAGGGATGTGGTGCTCCTTGCTCCCACCCAATGTCACCTCCCAAGGTCAAGCAAGCATCTCTTTCCCAGCGAGTCCTCCCCAGCCCCCCATCCTGTACCTCCTCCTGGGTGCCTTGTGGGAACATCCAAAGCACTGGGCCACCCACTTCGCCTCAAGCCCTGCTGTCACCACCAGCTGGGCTGGGTGCTGAGGACATGGATGGCCCCATCCCAGGGCAGAGGGCAAGTCTTGTCTCCAAATGCCAGGTGGGCAAGGTGTGTGCTCAATTTACTCCACAGCCCAGCTTGCTGCTTACAGATCTAAGAGCCCCAGTTTCCCACTGTGACATGAGGTCCTGCTCCCTTGAGGGACCGTCACAGGGACTGTGGCCGGCATGTGTGAAGCCAGGATGTGGGAAGCACCAGTGGTGCTGAGAGTGGGTCCCAAAGCAGAAGCTGCCTCTGAGCACATTCCTCACCCACCTAGGTTTGCTGCATTGTCCCTCTCTGTCCTCTCTGTCCCTCGGGTGGGGAAAGCCATTGGAGGGTGAAGTGGGACCAGTGGACCTGGGTGTAGCATAAAAAATCCAAGGAACCCTTACTCCTGGGCAAATGAGGGTACAAACTCTAGGCCCTCTGCAGGGCACACTGGCTCAAGAGCAGATTGGCCTTTGACCTGCTGGAATATGAGGATACCATGTCACTGTGGGTG